TCTCACATATACCTAGTGTAGGGTGTGTAGTCAGAAAATCTGTGTGAAAAACGAGAGTACATCTAGTAAGAAATTGAGGGAATTCTCTAAAGGCATGTTACTACATTTGAAATGTGTTTTAATTGCTTAATTGTGAACTAGTATGTGGTGACTATGATTAAGAATGTACTTAAGTGTAAAGATGGCTCAAATCTGTGAGAATAATGATTTTTAACTTGTCATGTGCATTGGAAGTCCCTGATACGATTGTTGGAAGGTGTAGGTTGTGTTTTGTTCTTTTTGTTTTGTTTTTCTGTTTTGCTCGAGGACTAGCAAAAGCTAAGTGTGGGGGTATTTGATAGGAGCATATTTATGCGACTTAAATGGCTTGTTCTCGTACATTTACGTTATGTTTCTTTAGTTATTTTAGTACTTTAAGCTATTTTCGTGTGTTTGTAGGTCCAAAGGGCTAAAGGAGCAAAAAGATGCATTTTGGAGACTTTTGGAGCACTTTTGGGCTAAGGACGGATAGCTTATGCTTGGAGCCAAAGTGTTGGACGAAATTGAAGACCTAATTGAAGACCAAAGTGTTGGAACCTTGTTCTCTTTAGCTTTAGGACATTTAAAACCTTTCCTAATCCCAATCATGTCATGCATAACACACATCCATTCTAACACATTGTCATTGCACATGCATTTCCTTCATTAGTTAATTCACATGCTCCATACTTATCATCACCACTCATTACTTATCACATATCATCACCACTTATCATATCATACATTCATTTATCACTTATCATAATCATTCACTTATCACTTAACATATCATACACTTATCATTTATCACTCATAATCACCTACAACATCCACCTACTTCACCTACAACATCCACTTCACCTACAACATCCACCTACTTCACCTACAACATCCACCCACTTCACCTACAACATCCACTTCACCTACAACATCCACTTCACCTACAACATCCACCTACTTCACCTACAACATCCACCCACTTCACCTACAACATCCACCTATTTCACCTACAACATCCACTTCACCTACAACATCCACTTCACCTACAACATCCACTTCACCTACAACATCCACCTACTTCACCTACAACATCCACCCACTTCACCTACAACATCCACCTATTTCACCTACAACATCCACCTACTTCACCTACAAATGACATAGCCATATGTTCCCTCCACTACTCCTATAAATACCCTTGCATTCATTCATTCATAATCATCTCATTTCATACACAACACACCACTCCTCATCCATTTCCATAATTCCCCAATCCATTCAACACATCAACAACATCCCTTAGACCTTATGCTACAACGAAGAGGAGGAGAAGAGTGCCTAAACGTTCATACAATTCAAGTTTGAGTTGTTGGAATGTTTAGGTGTTTCTTTTCCTCGATTATAATGTTTAATTTTGATTCTCTTTGTTTTGTAATCATGAGGAACTAAACCCCCCTTTAGCTAGGGGGGGATTCGAAATATATGTTTATGCTTGCATTTTGATTTGATTACTTCTAATTGCGTTTTATAAGTTGTGATTTCAATTTGTTTAACCATTTGATTGATAACTTATTTATGTATGTTTATTGAGAGTGCACGCTTAATTTTCATGCATGAATATGACGCTAGAATATAAGTGAGTTTCACCTAATAGTTATGAACTTATATTCACAAGTAGTGGAGGTTGCTTATAAACAATCGCGTTAAATGAATTCTTGGCACTAGTTTCATGCGTATTCCATAGTAACGAAGGCCTCGTCAACACTTATAGTTTTCATGATGCTTAATGATCTTTGATTGTATCTTTATTGTGCTGTTCACGTAAAGGACTTTTGGAGAATGTTGTGAATTGCGTTGCGCTAACCCATCCAATTCATTAACTTAAGGAGAACTTGACGGTTAATTTAAGCGGACCTAATTAACCCGGGGTGTTGAGTTTCATAATTTATCGAAAGACCAATTGGAAATCATTTTATTATGCAAGTGTAACATATGTGGAGATGAACCCCTTAGCTAGCATTCATCCATATTTTCATCATATTCATATTTACATTCTGCTTTAATTACAATTTGTTTATTTAGTTTAATTTCGTTCAAAACTCAATCCCCCTTTACTTTCTTATTCTTTAGTGCTTAGAATCTGTTTAATTTATGTTTTAAAGCATTTTGAGTTTTTGGTTTGTCTTAGTGTTTTAAACTTTAGTTTTGCATTCTTTGAGTCTAGGATAGCGTTTTATATTGTTTTTACGTTTTTGTGTCAGTTTCCAAGAGATTTGCAATCCCTCCTAATCCCCGGTCCAGAACGATCCCTACTTGCATACTTACTACAATTTGACAAAAAGAGGGTTTAATTTGTGTGCGTATAAATCACGCATCACCTGCCACTATCCCTCCCATTATAGATCTTCATTTTCCCATTTCTCGAACTTCCTTTCCACCTATTCGTCAATCCTCTACATCTCAACCTCAACCTCAATCACAATCCACAACTACTTCTGTTGAACCCTCCTCCTATAAATCACTTCCTAACATCCATCTAATGGTTACTCGATCCAAAAATGGTATTTTTCGACCTAAAGCCTATACTACTACTAAACATTCTCTGCCACCTACTGTGGATTATGTTCCTACTACTTATAATCAAGCTGTTAAATCTAACTATGCAAAATGAGTTTAATGCCCTTCAATCCACTAGAACTTGGTCTCTAGTTCCATCCTCACCATCTCAGAATGTGGTCGACTGCAAGTGGGTGTTTAGAATTAAGAAAAAGCCTGATGGTTCCATTGATAGGTATAAGGCCCAATTGGTTGCCAAGGGTTTTCACCAACAAGAGGGGCTTGATTATCAAGAAACATTTAGTCCTGTAGCTAAGCCTGTTACCATTCACATTTTGCTCACTTTTTCTGCTCAATTCAATTGGTTTCTGCATCAGCTTGATATTAGCAATGCATTTCTTTATGGAGACTTAAAAGAAGAGGTGTTTATGCAACAACCTCCTGGCTTCAGTGATCCAATCTTGCCGAATCATGTGTGTAAACTCATAAAGTCCTTATATGGACTCAAGCAAGCTCCTAGGGCATGGTTTGATAAGCTTTTTCAAGCTTTTAAGTCCATTGGTTTTACTCAATCTTGTTCTGATGCATCACT